TGCCAGGCAGATGCACTATCCACTACTAGATCATTCTGCCTCCGTTAGTGTAACATTGACTGTGAACTATTTTAACATGTAATAACAAATTCAATAATCCTCACTTAGCTCTTAGGCAGAGTTCCCATTAATATTGAAAGGAGTGTTTTGCCTTAGTCAGGCTTGCAGGATTTATCCTACTCTCTTTTTTATTATTATTATTAAAGTTTTGTCAGTTAGCCCATATCTGTTCTTGAAATATACAAATCCCAGCACTTAAGAAAATGAGACACTGGTTCTGAGGAGTGGCATGAACAACTTGAAAGGTTTATAGTATGTCACCATGCAGATTCCTAAAAGGCAATAATGCCAGTTTTAAATCTGTTTGCAGCGTTGTATCCATGTAGGTCCCAGGATATGAGAGAGACAAGGTAGGTAAGGTAAGATCTTTTATTTGACCAATTTCTACCTTTACCTACCCTGTCTGTCTCTGTTTTAAATCTTGCATGTACATACCTTCTACCCCAAATAAAAGTTTGTGCAGAAAGTTGTAATGGGACAAAACCTAGATACCATGAAAATAAGAAAAGGAGGACTTGTGGCACCTTAGAGACTAACCAATTTATTTGAGCATGAGCTTTCGTGAGCTACAGCTCACTTCATCGGATGCATTCAGTGGAAAATACTATGGTGACTAGCACTTGAGATACGTTAGATCTAATGATATTCTACCGTAAAATGTATTAGAAGTGCTTGTGCTATCACAACGCTGTGAGGGCTTCCTGTGCTCAGTGTTCCTTTTGCAAAATGTTTTTGGCAGATGAGTATAGACGCTAAAGCTTTTTTCCCCCAGGAACTGTCCAGGTTTCAATGCTCCATCAACTGTCTGTCCAGCTTAGCTCCCACCCCTCCATTTTCATATTGACTGGATATGGCAAAAATACACTCGTGGATATTCATTTTCCTCTGTATAAACTAATAATTACCAATATATATCCCTTCATAAAAAATTAACAGTGCAATTCACCTTCAATCTAAAACTAGAAGCTTATTTAAATGTATGCTAGTGATGCTAATAATAAAAAAACAAAAGCATTAACTCATTTTCAAATAAAATCTTCTAATTGTGAATGTGTCACACTGACAGCCCTGAAAATAACTCTTCATAGCAAGCAGCAGGGAAAAACATCTCCATGTTGCCCTGTCAGTAGAACATACTCCTGACTTGGAATGACCATTTCTAGGGATGAGAAGGAAGTTCATAATTCAGGCTTCAAACCTGTATAGATTCATTAGCGCATACCCTTGTAACTAAGCAGAGACCTATTGAAATCAATAAGAAAAGGAGTACTTGTGGCACCTTAGAGACTAACCAATTTATCTGAGCATAAGCTTTCGTGAGCTATAGCTCACTTCATCGGATGCATCCAATGAAGTGAGCTGTAGCTCATGAAAGCTTATGCTCAGATAAATTGGTTAGTCTCTAAGGTGCCACAAGTACTCCTTTTCTTTTTGCAAATACAGGCTAACACAGCTGTTACTCTGAAATTGAAATCAATGTGGCTCCAAACAGTGTGTGCCAGCAGAGACAGTTTTAGGGTTGGGGGCCCCTCCAACTACCATTGCCTTTAATGGCAGTTGCATCAGACTTTTAATCCACATCCAGTCCCAGACCTTTTGCCTATGATTGCAAGCAATAGGAGCCAATTGTAATTAGACACCTATCCACTAGGAACTGGACTTGTATCACTGATTGATTTGACATGGGCCATCAGAAAGCTTCGGATGATTATGACTTCATATGATTTTTTTTAAAGCTTCTTAGTTTCAAGCCTCCAAACAAATCTTGCTCAATATAGTTTAAAACACATGTCAAAGATCACTGAATGAGGAGGGCTCCTGTGGAAAAAGTAGTATGTGATCACGTAATTAAAGACTGTCATCATGCATATGCACAAGGGGGTTGAATTAAACTTGCACAAGCTACCTTCATTCTAATATTTTCTAATTTTTGAGCACTTGACTTTGTAACCTTATTTCTCTTTTAAGGCAACTTATATATATACAAACTCCCCCCCCTCCCAAAATTAGTATAGTCTTGAGAGTTCTAATAACATTTCATGCTAGAGGTTCATTCATAGAACTGTCGTAATAGAATAGCTTTCCCTGTTTGTTTTCTGATAGTGCTCATAACGTTCTCCTTGTCTGAATTCCTGGCCAGGGTTCTAGGGGTTGTTTTTACAGTTCCGCCCCAATCATGCTAGATACCTGGATCTCTGAGGTGCAACCAATGAGAGGGGCAACAATCAGGTTCCTTAGGGAATTAATAGTTAATTCACATAAGTCTGATGAAAATAACTGAACAAATAACTCCCCCCCCCACTTCAGCCCTTTTGTATGAAGTAATCTATCCTATGCTGCTTTTTTCAAACTACAGCTGCTGTGATGTATATATGTATAGCTAGACCATAGCTATGTGTGTATAACATAAAAATGAAGTAAATGAATGCTAGAAGCAGTGCAGTTTTATGAGTACTTGGTTTAAGAGTGGCTTGCGGCTTTTCATATGTAAACTTGGTGTTTTAGCACCCTCTGTTGGAAGAAGATGGTACTGTATATATTTTAATTTTAGATACTGCAACAAATGCATGACAAGTGATGGAGCAATATCTAGGAAAAGTCCGTGGCTCAGATTGCAGATAGCTGAACTATTTGATACTAGGTATATTAAAACAAAAGACATTTTTTCTTCTACTTTTGTCTTTTTACTGTAGGTTTTTTTTACCTTGTTGGTCTAAGCCAGCCAAGAACTTGCTTGTTTCCAAAAAATGAAGCTGATCTCATATAAAAAATTGTATTTTCTACTCTTTAGGTTTGCATACTCTTTTGTGATGTGTTGAACATTCTCAACCAACCTTGACTTGGGTGGATGTCTTACACATCTTAGTGACATAAATCTGGGTGCAAAATGGAACCCTCAGGTTTCAAAAAGCTGGTTGTGGGTTGAAGGTGGATTTTTTTTTTTTACCTGGGTAACTCATCAACACTTCACTTTCATCAGAGCCAGAGTAACTGAGTTCTTCACAGATAAGTTAATGTCATCATCTCTTTGCAGTGGTGGTATTACAGTAAACCTTTGTTATCCAGCATGTTGGGGGAATAGAGGGTGCCGCTGAGTCAAAAATTCCAGTTAACTAAGAGGGAGGGAGTTTGGGTGTCAGAGGAGGCTTGGGGCAGGGGGTTGGGGTGCAGGAGGGGTTTTGGGGTGCTGGATCTGGGCGGCGCTCACATCAGGCAGATCCTCAGAAGCAGTGACATGTCTCTGCTGCTCCTAGGCGGAGGTACAGCCAGGTGGCTCTTCATGCTTGCTCCGCCCACAGGCTCCGCCCCCACAGCTCCCATTGGCCATGGTTCCTGGCCAATGGGAGTTGCGGAGCCAGTGCTCCGGGTGGGGCAGGGCAGGGTAGGGGCAGCCCTTGGAGCCCCAGTGGCCGTTCCTCAACCTACGAGCAGCAAGGACATGTCACCACTTCCGGGGAGCCATACGGAGCCAGGTAGGGAGCCTGCCAGCCCCATACCAACTGGACTTTTAATGGATATCAGAAATGCCAGTTTCTAGAGCTTTCTGGTTTGTAAAGTGCCAGATAACACAGCTTTTACTGTATTAATTATTATAGTAGCACACAGAGGCCCCAGTTAGGATCAGGGTCTTTTTGCGTTAGGCTCTGTACAAAACATACAGTGAAGGACAGTTCCAAAGAGCATACAGGCTAAAAGATAAGTGTAGCACACAATGAAAGGGGAATGGAATGGAAGCATGGGAGGGAAAGCATCTAAGTCTATTTCTTAGGTAAAAGGTGATATATTAGTATCAATCAAAGAGAGGGGAAGGAAACAAAAGAACAGACAAAAGGAAATATAAGTACTGCCATACTGAATTAGACCAATGGCCCATCTCCCGGTATCCCGTCACTGACAGAGGCCAGTACCAAGATGTGTGTGCACAGAACAGGGAAGTTGGCGTGATCCACCCCATTTTCCCTTCCTGGGTTCTGCAGCTAGATGTTTAGGGTTGCTCAGAGCATGGGACTGCATCCCTGATCTTCTTGGCAAATAGCCATTGATGGACCTGTTCTCCATAAATGTATCTAGTTCTTTTTTGAAACTGATACTTTTGGCCATCACAACATCCCATGGCAGTAAGTTCCACAGTTAATTATGTGTTGAGTGGAAAAAGTACTTCCTCTTATTTTGTATTAATCCTGCTGCCTATTAATTTCATTGGGTGACCCCTGGTTTGTGAATTGTGGGAAAGGGTAAAGAACACTTCTCTATTCCCTTTTTCCATACCATTCGTGATTTTATAGACCTCTATCATAATAACCCCTTAGCTGTCTCTTTTCTACTAAGATGAACAGTCCTTAGCCTCTCCTTGTATGTAAGCCATTCCATCCCCTTGATCATCTTTATGCACCTTCCATGAACCTTTTCCAGTTCCACTATATCCTCTCTGAGATGGGGCGACCAGAACTATTCATAATATTCAAGGTGTGGGCTCACCATGGATTTTATATAGTGGCATTATGACATTTTCTGTCTTATCTTTCTATCCCTTTCCTAATGATTAGCCTTTTTGACTGCTGCTGCACATTGAACTGAAGTTCAGAGAGTTATCCACTGGGACTGCAAGATCTTTCTTGAGAGGTAACAGCTAAATTAGAACCCTACATATAGTTGGGGTTATGTTTTCCAATCTACACTACTTTGCACTTATCAATGTTGAATTTCATTTGCTATTTTGTTGCCCAGTTATGTCAGATCTCACTAGAACTCTTCACATAATTTTGTATCGTCTGCAAACTTTGCCTCTTCACTATTCACTCCCTTTCCCAGATCATTATGAATATGCTGAACAGCACTTGTCCCAGTATAGATACTTGTGGGGGACCCCACTGTTTACCATTCTCTACCGTGAAAACTGATATTTTATTCCTACCTTTTGTTTCCTATCTTTTAACCAGTTGCTGATCCAAGAGTGGACCTTCCCTCAGGGGGCCTTCTCTTATTAGGGGGCTTACAAAGGCAGCAAAGCAGCCAGGCTGCAACACAGGAACAGTGGCACAGGCGTAGGGGCTGTTTCCTTTGTGTTTATTTTCATGTTTACTGTATTTATTGATGATGTTGATGCTGTTTGCTTATGGAACATTTAAAGGACTTGGAACCTAGCAGAAGGGACTGGCTCTGACTGACTCTGTGGAACTTTTGCGACACAGCGCCTTTATAAGGGCTGCACGCCAGTCAGCAGTTGCTGTCCGTTAGAGAGGCAGCTGGTAACAGTCTATCTGCACGGGTTTCCTTCACCACAGATCATCGTCATCACCGATCCTCACCATTGATCTGAGTCCTCTTATGCCTGAGACTTACCTGTCGTGTGTGACCCAGGGAACCTACCATTTGTTGCTGTGCTCCTGATCTGCTGAAGGTCCTGTGCTCCTCCTGTCCCGGGCAACCACTGGAAGCAGTGGTAGGTCCAGGATCCACCTAGCCCAGCTGCAGATGACTGCTTACGTCCAAAAGCTGCTGTGTGCATGCATCATTATCCAGTGGGTCCATTGGGGACCTGCAAGTACAAACTTTTGGCTATTGTCTAGGGTTGTTTGGAGACCAGGCTTCAGGCCCACTGTTGGGGCAAACCACTGAGTTATTTTCCCTTTCCCCCTTGCATTCCCTGTTATTGTTAAATTCCCTAAATAAACCCTGTTTGTTTTGAAAGATATTTCCTTGTTAAGTCTTCTGTTTACATACTTACCTGGTGGGCTGAGGGAGGTTAACTGGCTACCAGCATCTATTGTCTGGGGAATAAAGAACCTGACCCTGTTACAAAACATCTGGGTAACACAGGTGCCAGCAAACAGAGCTGAACACAGGGGAGTTTGAGGGGGAGTTTTGTTGGAGGACGGCATGTGTAGTGTTCTGTTTTTGTTTTGGTAGGGGTTTTGTTTGTTTTGGGGGGGTTGTTTTTTGTTTCCTTGACAGGAGCTTAGGCAGGAAAGCTCTGACTGTACAGGGGCAGCAGTGGTAGTGACCCAAGCAATGGAAGAGTCAATGAAGATGACTGGATGTGGAAGCTGCAGGATGAACACTATCCTGGAGTGGGCACCTGAAAAGAGCTTCATTTGTATGAAGTGCCACCTGATAGATCTGATGGAAGAGAAGATCTGAGGTTTGGTGATGCAGGTGGAAATTATGGTTGGGTTTCAAAGGGGATTCAAGCAGATGATCGAGGGAAGATAACAGAAGGCTAAAGGGAAAACTCAAGAGTCGCAGATACAAGCTACACTGCAGAACTGTGAGGGTAGACTGATGGGTGAAGAAAGTGGCCAGTGGAAGCATGTCACTACAAGAACCAGGCTGAGGAAAAGACTGGTTAGTGAAAGAGAAATAGAGCTCAGGAACAGGTTTGCTGAATTGGAAAATGAAGAATGGGCACAGCAGGCTGTAACAGAAGGGGGGGGGAGGCAAGGAAGAAGGGAAGAGCGGCTAGTCCTACAAGAAGAAAGCCAGACTTCAGAGCCTCAGGAGGATAAAGAATGACTCTCGGAACATTGCAAAGGAAAACAAAAGACAAAAGGACTTGCAGTCAGAAAGAACAATTGGAAGGCCAGAGAATCACACCAACACCAGGAAGAATCAGGTCTATGTGACTCCCTACTAAGAAGAACAGACAGGCTTGTCACCAGAGCTGTTCTTCAGAACAGAAGGGTGAATCATGCTGGGAGCTAAAATATGGGATGTGGACCTGAGGCTGAAGAGGATCCTAATGGAAGTAGGAAATAATCCACTGATCGTTGTTCACATGGGAATAAATGATACTGCTAGATTCTCACTGGAACACATCAAGGGAGACTATGCCAGGCTGGAGAAGACAGGTGACCTTCAGTGGCAAGGCAAGATTATGATTAATTGATGGCTCAGGCAATGGTGCTATAAGGAGGGCTTTGGGATGTTCGATCACTGGAAGGCATTCATTGACTGAGTACTGTTCTCGTAGGATGGACTCCCCCTGAGTAGGGAGGGAAATATACTTCTAGCATTGAGGTTGGCACAACTGATTAATAGAGCTTAAACTTGAAACTCAGGGGAGACAGCTGGGAGATGCTAATGCATTCTCCATTCCTGATTCTAACAGTGACCTAGAGGAAAATCAAGAAAGGAACAGCAGCGGGTAGGAGAATGGACATTTAGAGGAAAGATAATGCCAATACCAATTACAGTCAAAGTCAGGCGATACTGACAGTAGAATGACTGTCCCCAATCGGGTGAGGAATCTGGGCGAAGCCAAGCAGAAACAATTAAGATGTTTGTTAGCCAAGCTCTGTGCATTGGTGTACAAACTGGAGGAACTAGAGCTGCTGGTGCAGGAAGTGAAATCAGGTATTATAGGGATAACAGAAACATGGTGGAATAGCAGTCATGACTGCAGTACAGGTATTGAAGGGCATGTGCCATTCAGGAAAGACCAAAATAAAGGTAAAGATGGTGAAGTAGCATTGTATATTAATGATGAGATAAACTGTGAAGAAATTAGAAGTGGTGGAAAGGATAAAAAAGTCTGTTTGGGTCAAAATCACTTTGGGGAAAAAAAGTCTCCCCTGTGATAATGCTTGGGGTATGCAGAATCCAATTTGGATATGAAAAGAGACCCCTTTAATGTTTGAATGAAATAAATACTACTGGCACTTGTGTGATTATGAGAGATGTTAATTTCTGAGATATAGAATGGAGGATAAGTGCTACTAATAATAATAGGGCCCAGGTTTTCACTGACTGTCCAGTTGGCGCTACCGCGCAGTGGGGCTGACAGGCTCCCTGCTAGCCTCTACACCGTGCGGCTCCCAGGAAGCAGCTGGCATGTACCCCCTCCACCTGGCTGCGCCTCTGCGTAGGAGCCAGAGGGGGGGATATGCCGCTGCTTCCAGGAGCTGCTTGAAGTAAGTGTTGCCCGGAGCCTGCACCCCTCACCCTCTCCCAGGCCCCAGCCCCGTGCCCCAGCCCTGATTCCCCTCCCACCCTCCAAACCCATGGATCCCAGCCCAGAGCACCCTCCTGCACCCTGAATCCCTCATCCCCAGCCCCATCCCAGAGTCTGCGCCCTCAGTCGGAACCCACCCACCCACCCCTCATCCCAATCCCCTGCCTCAGCTCAAAGCCCCCTCCCGCACTCCGAACCCCTCAGCCCCAGCCCAGAGCCCCCCCAACACCTCAAACCCCTCATCCCCAGGTCCACCCCAGAGTCTGCACCCGCAGCCAGAGCCCTCACACCCCACCCCACTCACCAACCCCCTGCCCCAGCCCAGAGCCCCCTCCTGCACTCCAAGTCCCTCATCCCCAGCCCCACATCAGAGCCCGCAACTCCAGCTGGAGACCTCACACACACACACACACACACACTCCAACCCCCTGCCCTAGCCCAGAGCTCCTTCCCGCAGCCCAGCCCCCTGAACCAGCCCAGTGAAAATGAGCGTGAGGGTGGGGAGAGTGAGCGATGGAGGTCTGGGGGGAATGGAGTGAGTGGGGCAGGGCCTTGGAGAAGGGATGGAGCAGGGGCGGGGCAAGAGTGTTTGGTTTTGTGCAAGTACAAAGTTGACAACCCTATGGGGGGGTCTTGATTCCCTGCCCCCCCCCCATTCCGGCGCCTCTGATTTGAAGTATTTAAATCATCATTTGAGGCTTTCAGTAACTCAACCAGAGGCGATGGGTGGGTGAGGTTCTGCAGCCTCTGATGTGCAGGAGATCAGATTAGAATGATGATCATAATGTCCCTTCTGGCCTTAAAGTTTGAGTCTATGAATACCATAACTACTTAGTTTCCTTAAAAGTCTGGTGAGGGACTTTGCAATCTAATAGACTGCTGTAGGGGAAGCCTTTTCCCCTGATAGGCTAAATTTTCTTTTCAGTTCAGTTCTTGTAGCATGTTACTCTCATGTTGCTCGCATTGTAGCCTGTCAGAGATGTTAACTACCAAAAGGCTTAGAACATCTGTGTTTCAGAGCTGTAGATTGTTGGCAGCCATTCCTGCTGCAATGGCTCATAAGCCAAGCTAGTCTTTCCAGACTTTCTTTTAAGAGCAATTACCTTTGCAGTTGCTTTGCATTCCAGTTTGATTTCTGTGCACTTTATATTCTCTCCTCTAGGATGGAGGGTGCTTTAAGGAAATGCAGTTCATTTTTCACGTTGAACAGATGTTAATTACAAACTTGTTCATCTGTGTGGTGCAACCTGAGGCATGCTATGAACTGCTTTGGTCTTTCATTTTATTTCCTGGAACTGCATTCTTGCTGCCACAGTTACTGAGTATCTATATATCACTCCAAAATGTAGAACATTGTTCCAAACAAATTGGGCCTCAAAAAACACCTTCACAGGAGGGTGTATGGATTAATTAAACTAATGTTAGTACAGCACTTTGAGATATAAATTGTAGCTGTTATTGCCTTTTTTGAGCATTGGGGAAGAAGAGATGCTTAAGGAAGAATCATGAATGAAGTGTGAGGAGTGGCTAGGTGGGTGAGAATTGGGAACTTGAGGACTAGGAGTTAGCACGGGGGGAGGGGGAGTACAAAATCATTGGTGGAGAAAGCTGAGAAAATGTGCATTAAGGCACATGTTGGCAAGGCAAAATGGGAGGGGTGAGATGCACTAAAATACCAGATTGGGAAGGTAGGCGGGGGTGGAGTTATGTAGGACTTGAAAAGGAAGGACAAGAAGTTCAAACTTGATGTTGTGAAGTCAGAGCCAACCTTGGAGGATGGACGGGAAAGTGGTTATATGGATGGTGGAGTGGCCAGAGAGAAGAAGGTTGAGAGCTAATAATCAGGACATGAAGAAGCTTTAGCTGTTGTGAAAGAGGAAAGAATGATTTTCACCCTGAGATTGTAAAGATGGCATCTTCCTGGATAATACTTCTATCATAGTGTATTTCAGACATACAAATGTTCAGTCATTTAATAATACTTTAAGTATATGCATTCATAGATTTCACAGTGATCTATAAAGGAGGGTCTTGGCATATTCTATGGTTGGAGAAAATGAGGCAAAGATGACTTGCCCAAGGTCACGCAGCAGGTCAGAGGCAAGAGCCAGTACTATAACCCAGGTCTCCTAACTCCTAGGTCAGTGCTTCAGTTACTGGAACACATCGCCTCCTCCCTTACCCTTGTTTATAACTACAGTTTTCCTCTAAAATTTCTCTGCAGGGAAAGAGCTGCCTCACTATACTAGCAATAGTGAAAGGAGCCAAAAACTCTGGTCCTATGGAATTTGAATTCACCTGGCACAGAAATAAAAGTGCTGCAACAGCTGAACCAAATTGACTTTGCTGTCACATTATAGAGAAGATATGGGAGGCCGGAGGGAGAGAGGCAAGTGGAAGAACATTAATCAGAGATCAGATAACCTCTGTCCTTAACTAACCCTGGTATAAATTACTGCGGCAGCAAAACAGTAATGAGGCAACTGAAGGAAGCGACCCAGTGATGGGGTGTGGGAGCTGGGACAGGGAGGGATGTAATCACAGAGGGGGAGGGATGCAGTGAGGGGGATGGGTATGCAGCCCCATTCCCAGCACTCGGAGATGGGGATACACATACGTCCGACTCCTGGGTGCCAGCGAGGGGACGACAGACCGCGGTTCACAGCAGGGCACATGCTGCTGCTCGAGCGCAGCCACACGAGAAGCATGAGGAGAAGAGGGCCAGGAAGCAGCGGGAAAGGCACACGTCATGCGACCCCTCAAGAGCCACCTGTTGAGCACTCATGAGTGGCGCTAATTCCTCCCCTGCCCTGACCCAGCCAATGGGAGCTGCACCTGTGGTCGGGGGAGCATGAGGACCCCCCTGGCAACCCCTAAGTCTAGGAGCTGGACATGCTGGCTGCTTCCTGATCTGGGAGCCGCACAGGCCACGGCATAGCGCTAGCAGGGAGCCTGCCTGCCAGCCCCGCTGTGGCGTTGCAAACCGAACATTCAATGGCTCAGTCAGTAGTGCTGACTGGAGCTGTAAGGATTCCTTTTTGAGCGAGTATTCTGGTCCAAATCAGGACACCTGGTCACCCTAAGCGGGGGTGCATTGCAGTGTGAGTGTGAATGAGGGAAGGGGTGCATTGCACTGTGACTGGGGGGGTGCATTGCAGTGTGAAGGAGGGGAGGGGTGCATTGCAGGGTGGAGGTGCATTGCAGTATGATGGGGGAGGTGCATTGCAGTGTGAATATGAATGAGGGAAGGGGTGCATTGCACTGTGACTGGGGGGGTGCATTGCACTGTGAATGTGAATGAGGGGAAGGGTGCACTGCAGAGTGAGGGGTGGAGGTGCATTGCACTGTGACTGGGGGGGTGCATTGCAGTGTGAAGGAGGGGAGGGGTGCATTGCAGGGTGGAGGTGCATTGCAGTATGATGGGGGAGGTGCATTGCAGTGTGAATATGAATGAGGGGAAGGGTGCATTGCAGGGTGAGGGGTGGAGGAGCATTGCAGTGTGCCTGAGGGGGGAGCATTGCAGTGTGAATGTGAATGAGGGGAAGGGCGCATTGCAGGGTGAGGGATGGAGGTGCATTGCAGAGTGGGAGGGTGCATTGCAGTGTGAATATGAATGAGGGGAAGGGTGCATTGCAGGGTGAGGGGTGGAGGTGCATTGCAGTGTGCCTGAGGGGGGAGCATTGCAGTGTGAATGTGAATGAGGGGAAGGGTGCATTGCAGGGTGAGGGGGGAGCATTGCAGTGTGAATGTGAATGAGGGGAAGGGTGCATTGCAGGGTGAGGGGTGGAGGAGCATTGCAGGGTGAGGGGGGAGCATTGCAGTGTGAATGTGAATGAGGGGAAGGGTGCATTGCAGAGGGAGGGGTGGGGGAGCACTGCAGTATGAGTGCGGGGAGAGGAGCATTAGACTGCCCGTGAGGGGCGGGGTCGCTGTGGCGGGGTATGGACTGTGCAGGGCTGGGGCAGTGCTTGGCGCAGCACGGAGGCTGGGCACACGGCGAGGGGAAGGCGGGGCCCGAGCCAGGAGCGAGCGCCCGGACACCACGCGAGGGGCAGAGGCGGAGGCCGGCCACGGGGGGGGGGGGTGGCGTTAACGGCAGCCGCGGCGGGCTGTGCCGGGAACCGTAGTTCGCCGCGGCCGCCGCCACACTCCAATTCCCAGCGTGCCCTGCGCGGCTGGCTGACGTCACGGGGATGCGTTTCTACGCAGCCTCCCGCGTCCCGCCCCTGGCCTGGGGGCCTCTCGCGCCGGGTTGTCAGGGAGAGAAGCTGCCGCCGCCGCCGCCCGGCCTCTGTCATTGGGGGCCGCTCCTCCGGCGGGGCGCGGGGCCGCGGCTCCCTCCAGAGGCGGCCGGCGGCGGAGCCACGCGGGGCGTCACCTCCTCCCAGCCGGCAGGTCTGAGGCGGCGGCCGGGCGCGTCCCCCGCTGTGCCCCCTGGGGTCCCAGTGCCGCTCCCCCCCCTCCTATCCCCCGCCCCTAAATCTGTGCCCCTCCCCCATCTCCGGCCTGGCCCCGCCGGCCGTGAGTCCTGGGGGTGGCTCATAACTACCGCCCGCGCCCGCAAGTGCTTCTCCGGCGCAGCGAGCGCGGCCAGCCGCCTCCCTCCATGCTCCGCGGTGATGCTGCTGCTGCTGCTGCGCCCTCCCTGCGGGTAACAGCGCCCAGCGCCTTCCGCTCCGGGCAGCCAAGATGTGGCAGAGCGTCGGGCTGACGCTGCTGGTGATCGTGGCCACGCTGGCCTGTGTGCTCTTGTTCATGCTGTGCGGTGAGTACGCGCCCCTAGGTCTCTGCGTGTGAGTCCCTGCCCCGATCCCTCTCCGCCGAGCCCGCTTCGGCGTTGCCGGGGGAGGGAGTGGGGAGGAGCCTGGTGCCCCGTTGTGGGGCTTGCTCACAGCGCTCTCTTCGCGTGTTCCCAAATCTTTGAGCCTTGAAATGTCTCCCGAGCTGAATTCACTACACTGGTCTGAAGTTTCAGAGTCGCAGCCGTGTTAGTCTGTAGCCGCAAAAAGAAAAGGAGGACCTGTGGCACCTTAGAGACTAACCAATTTATTAGCGTATAAGCTTTCGTGAGCTACAGCTCACTTCATCGGATGCGTACACTGGAAAATACAGTAAAACGATTTTATGTCCACGGAGAGCATTAAACAATGGGCGTTACCATACACACTGTAAGGAGAGGTTTCAGAGTAGCAGCCCTGTTAGTCTGAATTGGCAAAAAGAAAAGGAGGACTTGTGGCACTTTAGAGGCTAACAAATTTATTTGAGCATAGGCTTTTGTGAGCTACAGCTCACTTCATCGGATGCATTCAGTGGAGAGTGATCAGTTAAGGTGAGCTATTACCAACAGGAGAGAAAAAAAACCTTTTGTAATAGTGTGATAGTAATAGACATGGGGAAATAGTTTTACACTGTGTAATGACACATCCACTCCCAATCTTCATTCAAGCCTAATTTAATGGTATCCAAATGGTGGGGGCGGGGTGCATTGCAGTGTTTGTGAGGGGAGGGGTGCATTAGAATGTGGGGGGGTGGACTGCATTTCCAAGTACTCCTGTTCTTTTTGTTCTGAAGTTGACATCCTTTTGGGAAACGTGTTGCTGAACAGTTATGCTCTGCAGATAGGACAGTATTAACGGCAATAGAAATACCAGTGAATGACTAAAAAAGCCTCCTACTGAAAACTGTGCTTTTTAAAAAAAAATTTAAACAACTAATTTGAGGTTAATTTGAGACTAACGGAAGGACGTTTATGGAGCCCCATAAAGAGAGGCACTTAAGGATACTCTATAGGTGTCTGTTGTATTTTAAAAAATCAAAGAAACAAAGAGAAGAGTTTTGAATGCTCTGTAAGATGCAATCTGGTCAGCTTCCTCATTTTCTTTACACTACCATGGTAAATGTTGATTGGAGTGCAGACCTTATGTAAAAAGCATGTAACCGGAGTGATGTTGAAAGACTAGGATTATTCTGTAATATTCAGGCATCCCCCTCTCTTTTTCTCTCTCCCCATATGTAACACATGGTAAGAACTTAACTAAAGAGTCTTATGAAATTCTTTGCGTAAATGCTTTTTACCTACCTTGGTCAGAAAATAAAATTATGTATTAAATTGATTAAAAATGCTTAAAGGACAGTGGAGCTTCCTCTTCTTAAGTAAAATTTTGGCTGAATTTAAGTGGTTTTCAAACTTTTTTTCTGGCGACCCAGTTAAAGAAAGTTGTTGATGCCCGTGACACAACCGAGCTGGGGATGAGGGGTTTGGGGTGTGGGAGGGGGCTCAAGACTGGGGAAGAGAGTGTTCGAGTGCAGGGATAAGGACTGCAGGGTGGGGCTGGGAATGAGGGGTTCAGGGTATGGGAGGGAGCTCTGGTCTGGGGCAGGGGTTTGGGGTGCAGGAGGGGGCTCTGGGTTGGGGGGAGCTCAGGGCTGGGTTAGCGGATTGGAACATGGCGTTGGGGCGCAGGCTTACCTCCAGTGGCTCCCAGTCAGCAGCGCAGCAGAAGTGCTAAGACAGGCTTCCTGCCTGTCCTGGCACCGTGGACTGTGCTGTGCCCCAGAAGCAGCCAGCAGCAAGTCTGGCTCCTAGGCGGAGGCTCACATGTGGCTCTGCATGGCTCTCACCTGCAGGTCCCACCCCCCACAACGGAGCCAGTGCTCGGGGCAGGGGCAGCGTGTGGAGCCCCGTGGTCCCCCCCTGCCTAGGAGCCGGACCTTCCAGGGCACAGTGCGGTGTCAGAACAGGTAGGGACTACTAGTTTTTACTGGCCGGCCACCAGGGTCCCTGGGTGCTGAGCAAGGCAACCCAGTGTCTTGCATTCTGTGACGCAGTACTGGGTCGCGACCCAAAGTTTGAAAACCATTGTTTTAGAGCCCTATCCTGCCAAGACTTCACACACGACTAGGGGTACTTGTGTTGGAATGTAGGCAGGATTGGGCCCTGAGTTTTCTAGTAACGTAAGTAGAAGAGTCTCTGGTAATAACTGTGTTTTCTTGGGTAAAAAATGATTTACCAGACACTCTCTCCAAGTTCATTGGTTTGGCAAATAGTCTAAATATTTGTATTGCCTCTTGCTATAATTCTTTTTCTGTGAGTGTTAGAAGTCTTCAGCAGTAGATTAATTCGTCCCAGAAGGACCTAACCCTACTGCCACTGAAGTTAATGTTAAAACTCCCATTGATTTTGATTGTACTGGTTTGGGCCCAATATGCCTACATGCCACAATGTTAGTCACCATATAAATTGTTGTAATAGTAGTAATAAAGCTAACTTATTTCCATTTCACTCAAATCAGGTAGTGACTCGACACCGTTCGTAGGGGAGAGCCCTTTTTCTACCAAACCAAACTTGGTGGGGAAGTTGGGATTTTAAAACTATTCTGGGCCCTTTTTTCAATACTTTTAATTCACGTACAAAACCGTAGTATGCATGGCCCAGAGAAGAGAGAATACATGTGGATTCAAATTGCAGAGTTAGCTATGTATGCAAAAATTCAGAAAAACTTTTGCTGAATCTTTTTGACTGTTTCAAACACTTCAGAATTTTTCAGTCATCTCTATAAGTTGTTAAAAAATACAGTATCAGTTATATTTATCATAAAAACGATGGTGGAATAGCAGAGTGAAAATGATATTTAGCATTCATTGCTAAGATAATGCATCAAAAATTGTGGGGTTTGTTTTGGTTTTGGGCTGTGAGGTGTGGTGTGGGGATTTGGGGGGGGGGGGTTTGTTCAGGAAATCTTGATTTTTAAACCATTTTTAATCTTGTTTTGCTTTTGTAATTTTTAGTTATTTTCCTAAAGAAAGGTTGATTCTCATTGGTTGGTGACTATTAAAATTTGCTGATTTGCAAATAAGCAGAGCCTTTACACTGATATAAGACAACAGACGTTCCTTCAAATTCAAACCCCCATAGGTCCAAATGAGCAGTCTTGGGTGGATCGTCCATTCAGGAATCCAAGCCTTTGTGTCTCTTTGCATATGTTCTTTGTGCCATAAGGTACCCCATCATACCATTTTGCTTAACACTTGCCCTATAACAGCAACTCATGTCAAACAGTTTTTACTTGAACATGGTCCTTTCTCCACACCGTCAAACTGCTGAACACTTCCTGTGATTTGAGGTAGCTTTGCATGCTTGGGCTACTAAGGAAGACTCAATACCGAGTTTAAATCTGTTAGTGTAGTAGTCTCAAAAAGCAGTTTAATATCACATCACTCGTTACAATACAATGCTTTAGCTAAAACTATTATTTACTACTAAGCATTTAACAAATATTTAAACAAATCTGCTTCAGCAAGGCAACTTACAATTTCTATTAATGTTTGCATGCATATAGACATATACAGTAGACACCATTAAAAAGTTCACTGCTTCATTAACACAGTTAAATTTATTTTTGCTTTTTTCCCCCCAGTGTCCACAATGTGCTTTGCACTTAGACACAGGAAAGAAGTCATGGTCCCTGCCCATGAAAGCTCACAATTCACCACAGCTACATTGATTTCACCTTACTTCCCTGCCCTGACCCCCTACAATGGGACCACTCAAAGAAGTAAAGTTAAGCATATACTTAAATGTTTGCAGGATTGGGGCATAAGTTTTGTAGGGGGACTACTCCTCGTGCCATAATGAAGTCAAATCTTGTGGCCTGTTACAATGTTGTTTTTAGTGGTATACACTTTGAACTCTGTAATCAATATATTTCATTTTTTGCTTATTGTCTGTTCCTAACATATTAATGGAATAATACTGGCACTACATATTCTTTTATTTAATTACAGAAATTTTTTTTAAAGGTTTAACCAAATGGGAAAAAATGTCTGATTCATGTTTCAAAGGTGATGTGTACAACTCCTATTTGTAGTTACAAATTTGTATTTAACACTTGGATCTGGTGGACATGTGTAGTGCTATTTGAATTTCCACTCTTTAACACAAATATGGTTAGTGTGTGCTATGCTGAATTAGTTCTGTTTTTTATCATGCAACTTAAATTAGTCTTTACCACTCTTCTATGGAGAAAAGAGAAAAATCTAAAACATTAAATGTCAACAGGAATTAATCACATTAGAAAAATTAAATGTTCAGCCGTGTAAAGACATAGGCCAAAATATTCAAACATATATGCCTAAAGTTAGGCACCTACATTGTTTTTTAAATAAAAATCCCTGAATAGGTGCCCTGATCTTGAATTACTTGGTATCCACAATTCCCATTGTCATCAGTGGGAGTTGATGCCTTTCAGAGCCTTGGTTGAACCTTGGGGAGGAGAAAGATAGGGGGTAGGGGAGCTCTTGCAGTTAGAAAAAAAATCTATTGGTAAACTGAGCACATTTATTACAGAAATGATTGAGAAACTGTAAACATGGCTGTTTGTCAGTCACTCTTTAAAGTTGAACTTCACTTTTAGCAACTTTGCTTTTGTTCCTTTTCCTTTCATTTCTTCTCAACTATTTATGATTTTGTTATTGTTTTCTGCTTTTTCCTCCCTGCCATTTGTGTGCTATCCTGTTTTCTTTGTGTGCCCATTTGAGTTATTAAGACTGGTGGCAGCGAGCAGGTAGGAGTTTCAAATTTCTCCCACTTCCATCCTCTTTGCTGGTTTCTGACCAAATTCCTGATCAAGGCAGAGTGAGCCTTGTTCAGTAGTCTGGATGCCTCCACCTTATACTGCAGCAAAGGAGAAGAGTGAGATCTGAAGCAGCTCCTTTCCCATGGGAGCTTAGGCTCCTTCAGCATGTGTGACTTTTCTGTTCTCATCA